TCCGCAGCATCGAGGCGATTGTTCGGTTATAACGCTCGACTTGCCCGTTCGTCTGGGGATGGTACGCCGAAGTGTACAAATTCGTTATCCCCAGAACGCGGCACGTGCTGTGGAAGAACTTGGCATTAAACTGAGGGCCGTTGTCCGAAAGCAACGTGCGAGGGACGCCATACTTGAACACCCACGAGTCGCAGAACGCAACTGCGACCGTGTACGCTGTTATCGTGCGGAGCGCAACGACTTGCGTTAGCTTACTGAAGCGGTCCGTGATCACGAGCAGGAACCGTTTTCCTGTCTTCGTCTTGGGGAGGGAGCCTTATTGGCTTGTGGCAGTGGATTTTTGAGCCGGTCAGATGGAGGAGATCGGGGGTAGGGGTGCTTCTGGTGCACGTAACCGCTACATGGCAGCAGTAGGGCCGTGCCGCCTTAAGAGGCGGCCGTTATAAAGCGCGGATGACGTTACGTGCGGAGATACACCGGGCGGTGTACGTATAAATCAATTGGTATAAATGTGGTGGGAGCTTGTCCGACCGGCGGGCTTGCTGATGTCGTCATCGCGCAGTGCGTAATGGATGCGGTCGTCGCAGGTTTCCAATTCAAACTTTCAAATGTGAATGTGACTGTAAAGGAGCGGGAAAATGCCTACTTTACACTGCGCCATTGTACTGTAGCTAAGCCATCGCCCCCTCTTCAGGTCGCGAGACACTGCACGGCGCGCGCTTGCAGCACTCTGGTGCACGGCCAATCACTGCCCGCTCTGTAACCGCCTCCAGAACCGTGTCTCTTTCGAACCGCCCTCGGTATCTGTAATTTACACTTCTTTTCTCATGCGACCGTTCTCGTTCACTCTGCAGCACGCCTTGCCTTACGGCATCCGCGTAGACGGGGCCGCGCTACCGGTCTTTATGTGCTGTCTCTGGCGCCCAAGTTAGGCATGGCAGTGCTGCACAGGTGAAGAGGTGTTTGCAGTGTTACAGCACTATGCCGCGCACACAATATTTACATCGTCGCGTACTGTCGATCCATGAGTGCCCAGGGCGCACTCTCGTGGACATGAGAGTGAGGGCACTGCCCACACATGGGTGAAGGCGACATTTACATCGTCGCGTACTGTCGATCCATGAGTGCCCAAGGCGCACTCTCGTGGACATGAGAATGAGGGCACTGCCCACACATGGGTGAAGGCGACATTTACATCGTCGCGTACTGTCGATCCATGAGTGCCCAAGGCGCACTCTCGTGGACATGAGAATGAGGGCACTGCCCACACATGGGTGAAGGCGACATTTACATCGTCGCGTACTGTCGAGCCTTCTTGTGAAGGCGCGGCCCCCCTCCCTGCCTTTCAGGAAACCCTCTTCCGGGCCACCCATCCATCTGGACGAGTCTCGATGCAACAGTAAGTAATCCCCAAACACCAAACCTCTCTCGCAATCTCGTGTCAATTTCTGCATGAGAGGGCCACTTTGCCTTTTTCTCCCTGCGAACCACAGGACATGACCCCACTCCGTCCTGTAAATTCCCGCAGCCCGCAATGCATCCCACTCGCGATATTTAAAACTCTCAGCCCTGCCCAGAGGAACTCCCCTGCTATCATCCTCAGAGAGGGCTCGAAGCGGACGTGGCTGTTACACATTTTTTCGGCTCTCCAGTCGTTCCCAGGGAGAGCAGCGTGCGCACGAGTCACAGCATTGCTACATTCCTTGCGTTGTCCACCAAGTAATAAGGTTCCTCGCTGCCATTCCGGGCCACCTTTCTGCTTTCAAAACACTACCACCGTGATTCTCCGCATTAATACCTTTTCTTTTCTGGTCCTCCAACCGAACACGTTGATATTAACTGGACCCACTTCTACGAGTCCCACCTGTAAAATTTTGCACTTTATTATTATTCCACTACTGTATTATTTGTGACAGGGCGTCATACTTCTTTTTGCAGTTGGGAAGTTTCGTACCCCTGCAGTTCGTTCTATGTAACCAGACCGTATGCTTCAACCTCAACTGCGTTGGGAAGTCACGAGGAGGACGAGTTTTGCGGCTGCTTCATGTAGTAGCATTCGTTCAGGGTGCCGTCAAGCGAGTGTCTTGTCAGTAAGCCTTCAATACCATATACCCTGAACCCAAACATTCTTCATAGATGACTTTTTGTTCTGTGGCAAAATGCTTTCCTATTTTTCCTCGTGTCAGTGCAGTTTTCGTTTTTTTCTTTTCGCATCAAAAGCATCACTGGAATACTTCGTAGCCTTGAGCGAGTGACGTCACTACTTGTGTACAGCAACGTAGATAGCAGCTGGTAGATAGATGGGTTTTAGCGGTTAAACGGCTGGTTTCATGCGACACGGAGAGACTGGCGATCTATATGACCCACACACAGACACGGAATTCATTCCCACAAACGAGTGTCACGGGTGTCTGTCTACCGAATTGCGTCAGACTGCACAGTCGCAAGGGGGAGAAATGACACGAATAGATCGTCTGAAATGTTGCGTCAGCAGGATCAAGGCCTCCTTTGGCATGAATTCATCCACAGTACCCTAATCCCCAAGGGTACCTACCTGTACTGCAGACCTGCGCAAGCACCCGAAACCGCATGGACTCCCAGATTGGGAGTCCATACTTTGAACTCCTAGGAGTAGTTTCGGAGCGCATACAAAACGTATCCCGCGACTATGAAGCGACTATGAAGTTCATACGAAGATGCGGGATACGGTGTGCGTGCAGAGCGGAGTTTTCCCGGTCACGAACGGCGTTTTTCATTCGGTTACCGCGTTAGGGATTGTAGAATATGCGTATTTGTGGCGTAAAAAAGAGTGATACGTATGGTAGCCAGAAGTCAAGGGTTCGGGTTTCATCTGGTTGGTATTATTTACGATTTCTAGTTTGAGTATTGCTGACCTTGGACCACGCGTTCATTCCATCTTAAACAATGGCTGACGCTCTTGAACCAGTCGTTGGTAGTGTCCGCACGGCTGAAAGTGGGCACCGACCATGGTGAAACGGTGACGACGACTTTGTCGCCCTTCATGAGCTCCATGCGATGCCTCCCGTCGAAACTAACCCATGCCGAAGCTCGCGAGTCTTGTGGGACCTTGATTTCAAGAGTGACATAATCCGGGAAGAGTACTGGTCTGAACGAAAGGGAATGAGGACAAATTGGAGTAAATAAGATTGCAGGCACGCTGGGGTGCACCATGCTGCCCCCGGAAGAAAGAGAATATGCTGTGGAGCCGGTCGGGGTCGCGACGATGATGCCGTCGGCCTGAACCCGGGTGACGGGACAGTTATCGCAAAGGACTTCCAGGTTGCTAAGGTAAGGGGCTGGGCCTCTGTCGATGACCAACTCGTTGAGGACATGATGCTCTTCGGTGACAGAAGCTTCCCGGGTTTCATCGTTGAGGGCGTTGTCTTCGAAGTTGTGAATGGTTGGCGAGCAGGTATGGTTTGGACCGATGGTCTGACGAACGATGACGCATTTCAGGCGCATGCGCATGGTGACAGAATTATTCTGACCGGTTAGGACTGAGGAGACGTCTTTCTGATGGTCCGAAAAGTTAAACGGGGTCAAGAACCCCATGCTACCGAGATTGAACGGCATGAAAGGAGGGACGGCCTTTGGGAAGAGGTTTTGGATAACATGGAGGATTAGACCGTCGCCTCCCAAAGTCATGACGAGGTCGACGTCGTCGGGTCTGACAATTTCCCTCGACGGCTCGTGAGCGGCTTTGGACTTGGTCAAGGGGTTAAACTTGAAGCTATCAGTCAGGGAAAGATTGTCCATGCTGGTTGAGAGCAGCCTGTGCTTTTCAGGCTGGCTGTTGACGGCATGAGCCAGCAACGGGACGACGACGGGGACGTTGATGTCACACCTGTCGCAAATGTTCTGCTCGACGGCGACGACGACACCACGGACGGACTGGAGAGACTTGATGAGGATGGGGAGGGCCTCCATGGAGCGGGTGTTTTCCGGGTTGACAGCGATGAGAACTAGCGTGGGGGCGTCATCCCATGCGATGGTGACGCGCCGCCTTCTCGGCCTACGGTCGACTTCTGCGAGATGTTTACGGTCCACTAGTGACTCTTGTCTCTTGCCGTCCTGATAGTGGGAGGTGACTTGGACGAGGCCTCTGGCAGACTTTGCTTCTGGCATGTTGAAGGGTAGAATTGTGCGTGTGAAGTGGAGCAGGTGCGAGAGCAGGAGGCCGAGGGGGACGGATATAAGCAGCAGGTTTTCGGGGTATAGAAATGGGCGCGTGATGGCATTGCTATCGTGAAGGTTGCTGGGGGTGTTTGAATTTAGGTGAGGTATGTGTCTCGCTGGCGGAGTTTGAGTTTGCTCGTCTAGGAATGGAGGAGAGGGTGACGGGTAATATGGCTAAGCTTGTTGATGTGGGACATCACTACGTAAAGGGGGGTGCTCTAAATGTCGGACAAAAACCTCAATATTAAAAGGAAAAAGTACTTGTAATTGTCAAGCAATCACCATTTTTTATGTCTTGCGACGGGAACACTCTCAGCCGTTCGTCTACTGGGACTTGGCGAAAACAAGCACGGACAAAGACGAGGAGTGAGATTGAAGCGCGCGGACACTTTTGCACCCCAACCGCGCACAAAGATCGGACATCGAAGCAAATTAAAAAAACAATAGAAAAGTATGCCTGTTTTGTATTTTTGGGTTGTTACACTCTTATGCGTAGCAAGCTGTGAGCAGTCGATTGAGATATTTTTTCTTTAATTTCAACCACGTCGTTCTGAGATACGGCGCACTGTCTGGCGCTGTTATGCGCGGCGGTGCACCTTGGCCCTTGTGTCGGAGATAATTTTCAAAATATTTTGCATGTCCGATCTTTTTGTCACTGTCTGACAATTGCAGCACCCCCCCTTTATCATGTACAAGTATTGCATCTGCAGAGTGCACCGCACAGTCGCGGCCAGTATGGCTCTCCCCACGCCATACACGTGGACATAACCCTTCCAAATATTTGGTCGACTTTTTCCACCCCACCTGGGTCACACGTCTGGGAAACTGCCCCGGTCCTCCCCTCCCGCAGATCACCTTCGACACACTTTTTCTCGCTGGCATCAGCCTCTGCCTCGGCGCGCCGAGCGAGCCTCCTTCCGTCGCGTCGCCCTGCGAATCGGAAAACCAAATCGAACTCACCCTTTTTGGATTCGCGAAAGGCACGTAGGAAAAGAAAAGCACACCCTTGTCCTCGTCCTCTTTATTCTACTCATCCCATCTCACGCCATGGGTATGATGCGGCACTACCCAGTGGCGCGGACGACACGACGAATCACGTACAAGTTTCAAACCCACGACGTCCGCATCTATTCGTTTGAGGATGCCGTCGATCGCGCGCGTCGAGCTGTCACCCGCGCCGGGGGGGAGCTGAGAGGCGGAGTCTACGCCCCGCCCAAGCACATCAAGAGGTGGTGTGTGAACCGCTCCCCGCATGTCAACAAGACCTCGAGGGAGCATTTTTGGATGGTTTCACATCGACGCGTCTTCCGGTGGGATGCCGGTCCAGATGTAGATGTAGACGCCCCACTAGAGATTGCCAGTTCCATGCCGCCAAATGTTGCTATTAGAATTACAGATGAACAGCCGGGGCTCATGTGTCTCAAAGGGTTGTTTAACACATTGCAAGCGATGCAGAGGGCTCCGGAAGATGAAGGAAAACTAGAGACGGAGAGTTCAGATGTGGCGGTTAATGAGGAGGCGACGGAGGGCGGGGATTCCACAAGTGTATCTGCACAAGAGAAGGACGACAAGTTGGACGGCAAGTCATAACATACAAAGCTGGCGGCATAATCTCGCGCTGTCGTGTATGTGCAAGTAAATTCACACAACATGTCACACCCAGCAATGAGTTCCCCCTCTTCCCCTTTAACTACAAATTGCAGACAATCACGAAATACTCTACGGTATTGAAATAACTATTGCAGGATTCCTACATCCTTATTCGTCTCCCGGTAGCAATCCACGCGCAGCCTGCCCCTCCTGAATCTCCGCAACGTCCGGGCTAGCATTGTACGGCAACTCCGGTGTATCTGCGCCTGACGGCCTCTTGTATGGCAGGTCTGCCGGCTTGTCTGTCTTCCAAAACGCGACCTTCTCGCCGGGCTTCTCTATGAAGTCCATCGCGCCGACGCTCGTCAAGTACGGGATTCCTGGAATTTCCGTCTGCGGCGAGCCGGTGGGGTTGAGCGTGGCTGGGTTAGAGATCTTTTGCAAGCGGGCGTAATTGACATCCAGCGCTCCGTCGAGGGTGAGGAGCTCCTTCTCATCAATGCCGCCGATGATGCGCTCGACCCTCGCGGTGGCGCCAAAGTCCATGGCCGTGAGGGCCATTCCACGGCTCTCGGACACGCTGGCGCGGAACTCCTGGAACGACTGGTCGGCAATCTCGTCGTCGGACATGTTTGCAAAGGTATCCGCCCTCCACTCGGGGTCGACGTAGTCGGAATCCCACGGGTACAGACCGGAGGCCTCGACAAGGCGCGGGTCCGGGGCAGTGGGCTCGTCGGAGGTTGGCAGGGCAGGGTCGAATACCTGCTTGATGCCCTCCTTGGGCACTTCGACTCCGCCCATGATTCCGCGGCCCAGCATTGGGGTGCTGGCGTAGAGAGGAACGCCCCGGCCGAAGTCGGAGACGATACGGAACTTGTCGATGTAGTATTGCATGGCGTGGCCTCGCGTTTTGTCGGTGCTGTACGAGTAATCACCGTAACCCATGGTGATTGCGGCCATGCTGCGGGATGCGGGGTTGGTCACAGTGGTGCCCGACAGTGAGCTGCGGGAGCCCACAGGCGTGGTGCGGGAGGCGGTTAGCGGAAGAGCCGGGACGAAAGCCATTGTTGCAAGGTTGTGGACGAGACAACGGCAGCTCGTTGGGACGGTGCAGTTGATGGGCAGTGCGGTAGGTTTGACTTAAAGTTGTGTACCCGTACACATTGCACAGGGTTTTCTGGGCCTGTGCACCGAGATACGCAGTGGTGACCTCCGAGCCCCTCACTTGCTTGGCTCAGAAATTTGTTTGATAAAAATATGGTGCAGGGGTTTCTTAAAACTTGATCTCGATGCATCACACGTGGATCCCGCTCCACGTGTCAAGGAGGGCCCCTCTTTCCGTGTTGCTTTCTCGAAAATCCATCGCGTTTGTGCACTCGTTACATTTCCAACTTTGGGAGACCATCTCCCTCTACGACACAGAAGCAATATTGTACATGCTCAAAATTAGATTGAGGGCGTTTTGCGTATCTATCGTGAGCTAACCCATATGACGTCTCGTTTATTCAGAATCGTTCCGCTTCTTCTTCTTCTTCTTCCCCTTGTCCTTCTTCTTTGACCTCTTTGCATCGGGCGTTTTCGCTTTATCCTTGATCGCGTTTAGGATCTTCTCTAGGCCACCCCCGCCTTGCTCCTCGTCACTCTTGTCTTCATTTCTCACAACGGCCCCCTTCCCTATGTCTCCTCTCACCTCTGCGTCTTTGTAAAGCGAGTCGAAGATAACATTCGGCTCTTTGCTCCTAGCGCTCTTCACCGATTTCTCGCTTTCCATCTCAACATCACTGTCCGTCCTCTTCCTTTTCTTCTTCTTGTTCTTTTTCTCTTTTTTCTCCTTGTTCTCTTTTTTCTCCTTGTTCTCTTTCTTCTCCTTTTTCCCCTTTTTCTCCTTTTTCTCCTTTTTCTCCTTTTTCTCCTTTTTCTCCTGTTCTGCTGCCTTCTCTTCAACCTCGTTACCGTCCTCTTCGTCGTCATCCTGTAAAATATCTGTAAACAGCCTTTCTCGCGTCTCGCGCGTCGTCTCTTCATGTTCCCATTCCTCCCCTCGTCGCATGTACTGCTCGACCCGGCACTTTCTCAGCACCATTTGCCCGCAATCATGCTTTTTCAGTTCCTCAAAATCCGACGCAAACGCCTCCATCATGATCTTTCTCAGTGGCCCCGCAACCACACCAGCACACCTGACCACGACCTGTGCACCATACGGATTCTTTGCGGCTGCAAGAATTCCCTCGGCCTTGTCTCCTGATATCGCATTAACTACCTTTGCAGCAATCTTTTTGCTCACCTCCAGTGTCTCCCCATCCACCCATTGCTCCACTAACCGACTCCCCACTGCATTCCCGACAAGTGCGACTAGTTCTTCTCCTGAAAGAGTTGCCATTGAATCTCTCATCAACTGCCCCGGCCCGCCGGAGAATCGCATGACACATCTTGCAATCAATGTGCCGAGTAAGCTCGGACTCAGCAACTTTTTCGGCACAAAGAGCACATCACCCATTCGCTCATACATTCCCATCCCCGTCCTGCCTAGCTGCTTGACATCCGTTTGCCATCTCCTCCACATTTCCTCAGAGCCCATCATCAGCATCCCAGCAAACGATTTACCTCTTTCCCCCACAGCCCCGCACGCCCGCGCGACGGAGCGGCTCGCTCTCCTTCTGCAGTTTTCATCTCCCTCTGCCTCTGTCACACGCAGCAGTGACAGGACCACGCCCTCGCGCGCCCTTCCGAAACCCAACATCTCTGGAACTGCGTCCTCGAGCTCATCCCACGCGTTCATCACTTGTCCCCTACCCCTCAGCCCAAGCAAAATCCGCTGCACAACAAAATTTGCTTTAGGATCCTTACTGAGTTCTTGCAGCCTCCCTTTGTAGGTGCCTTGCACGACTTTAGCACCAAGGCATAAAACTGCCCGTTCGATAAACCTGCTCCCACATGCGTTTCGCATCAGCTGGTCTTCCTGGCCCTTGGCGCAGTATTCTGCAAGCTGAAGTGCGAGTTCTTTGTTTCCTACGCTCACTCCCGCAAGCAACGCCTGCAGAGCTGCGCAAGACGATGGCTTCCAGAGCATTTTCTGCAGATCGATTGCGTCATCCTGCAAAAGCCCTTCCGTCATAGTGTGCAACGCCAAGTGCCATTCGTCGGGTACATCAACGGCCATGCGCTCAATGTAACTCCTAATCCGACCACGCTCAGAGTCGTCCAACTTGGCCTCGCGTGGCTCATCGCGCGGAATTCCGGCGAGAGTGGCAGCGATCGCGCGAAAAGAGTGACTTCCGCTCGCACTATTCACTACTTCAGCAAAGTCGCTCTGTGTCCATTTGCCCACCGTATCCGCCATTTTTTTCAGACATGCACGCGCGTCCCCGTCGCCCTCCCACCCTCCACCAATCGCTTGCAAGGCTGCGTCCACCACATGGCTCGCAGCGTGGTGTGCGGCTAGGGCGGCAAAACGCTGCGGCCCAGCGTCGAGAGCGGCGCCCAACAGAGCGGCCGGCGGGCCCGGATCAGCGCATGCGCGGAGGAGCGACTCTAGCAAGCGGGATCCAAACGCGTCTCTTGCGACTTCGTGGACCCGAGGAGCGAGTTCCGCGATCGCATTTCGAGCAAGGAGCACGGACGGCGGCGGGTCGTCGGGGTCCACAGTGGACGAGCCCGCAAATGTGGTGGCAAGAGAGCCATCCGGGTCGAGCTCCTGAAGACTAGATTGGAGTTGAGAGAGATAGGATGACAAATCTGTGGACAAAGTTGATGGGGTGGAGGAAGATTGAAAGCCCGAGACATATCCCACTGAGGCGTTTGGAGCTGCAGCGATTGGCGCGTCGACAGTGGATTGGGCCTTTTTCTTCTTCTTGGCACCGCCGCGTCGGCGAAAGCGTCTCTGACTATCGTCCATTCCTACAGAACCCATCGCTTGACTAGTGACGGTGATGTGAAATGGTAAGCTGAATCGAAGTCGAGGCTGCTCTGCCGAAAGCGACTTGGCAACAAATTTAATACGCCACCGCCGACGCGGAAGCATGTGTTCACAATTAAATAGAGTGTCGTCGATCATCCCCTAAAATTTTGCCATTTCATGCAACGCAATTTGATGGACACAACCTATCACATCGCATGTGCTGGTTTTCACGTTTTCACCTGCTCCAGCAAAAACATTATTGGAAATGCTTTTACTCCCGTTCAACCAATCCATTCATGCCAAATGTCCGGGTGCTCGGGTGCTGGCACCGCGAACTCTTCGTTAGGAACGGCCCTGAAGCAAGTGCAGGCTTGAGAACTTTCATTCCTTTTGACACTAAGACAGAAGGTCGACCTGCTTGCTCGTACGCAGAATTCAAGGCAACACCTGCTATCGGCATGAGTGATCTTCGACATGGGCTGGAGTGCGAGCGAGCATGGCGTCGAGTAAATTTGACTGCAATGCGAAACTCAGCCTTTGCGGGATGCATGCCTCCGATGCGATGTCTAGCGTGCCTGGCGATGAGAGGTACTGCTGGTGATGAATGAGATAGACGAGCTGACAGCGGGGGCGGCGTGGGGAAGGTGGGCACTGGCTCCGAAATGGCTTTCTCACCGCCTGCAATGACGTCGACGAAGACGGGCTCTCTCCGAGCCTCGACGCGTCTCCGAACACGCGCCGCACCGTCTCAGAACTGAGTGCACGCTGCCGGCCACCGCGCAATGCACGTTGGAGACCAGTGTCGCGGCCCCCTACATCCTTCTCGTCGCCGCCGCCCCCGCTTGCAGAGGCCCTGCCGGCTTTGTGCTCCCTGCCGGCGGCCAGCCCGGCCGCGCTCGCCGCCGCCCATCGCCTTTTCTCAGGAATTGACCCAACCGTGCCGCGCGACCGGCTGACCCCCGCACCCGACTCCAACGAGTTGAAGTCGCTTCCGCGCGTTCCT